TCTCGTGTAGATCTCAGATCTGTTCTTTCTTCCTCTCGAAATCCTGCCTTTTCTGACGTGGATGCTCGCCGAGGATCAGATCCGAATGTGCAAGTCTTCAAGTCTTCAAAGCTCCGAGTTCACTCTTCAATCCGGCAGAGTTTCGGCTCTTGAAAGTTCGACCTCCGAAAATGAACATCTCTAGGCCTATTTATAGGCTCTCAAGACTGTGCCCGCGCACAGAGAAATGTCAGCCACCCATAGGTGGCCGGCACTGTGCCGAGCCACCCATGGGTGGCTCGGCTTTGGCCGAGCCACCTATGGGTGGCTCGGCTTAAGCCGAGCCCCCCCTTAGGTGTGGGTTTTCCGAGTTTTTGAGTTGTGTCCGTTTTCCGGTTTTGTCCGTGATTCGGTTGATCGAGACTCTGATTTGTTGATCTGATTTGGCAGTAAGTCTGATTCCTGATTTGGCAGTAAATCCACTTCTGAGTTCGAGTCCGAAACTGATCTTGATTCGATCGTGATTCGTCCGAGTCTATTCTCGGTTGGATGACTCGTTGATTCCTTAACACTTGGCTTGATTCCGAACGCGTATGGGTGCATTCCGTCGCTTGCGTGCGATTCGTCGATCTCGTCGCCTCGTTGGTTCGTCGGTTTGTGCCGAGCTATGCTAGGGGACCTATAAGCAATTTTATATGCCTACAGATACCCCCTCCAAAGTATTTCAGTCTCGTTCTTTTATAGAAGAGTCTGGAATACTTTGGATATGATCGTCCCCACCTTCAGTCGGTGTAACGGGACCTTGGAATGATCTCCGTTCTTGATTCCTTCAATCTTCCAGGCTATTCGGTGCTTTGTCGAATATCTGTAAGAGTTCCGGTGCTGCATTTATTGTCTGACCGTTGTCGGAATTTCGAATTTGAAGTCGGATTCAGAAAATGCGACATTATTTAGTCGGACAGACGATTTATGTCATTTCCAACATAAATCCCGTCCGAGTGTTCATGACCCAACCGGCTTCCATGAATTGGCGTTTGGCCAGATGGGCTTTACTCTTATCGCAATATGACTTGTACTTCAAACAGCAGAAATCTGTTAAAGGACGAGCTATTTGCGACCTTCTGGCAGAAAACCCTACGAAGGATGTAGTCGAATTGTACGACGACCTGCCAGATGAAACTCACGAAGTTAATACCACCTCACATCAACAAGTGTGGCAATTGTACTTCGATGGGGCTTCCCGATCAACCAACGTGGCAAGTGCACCCGGATGTTCTAAAATCTCCTCAGGAGTGGGGGTCGTTTTAGTTTCCCCGGAAAAGCACGTCTTGCCTAGAGCATATTCACTGACTGAACCATGCTCTAATAACGTAGCTGAATACAATGCATTAATAATCGGACTTAATTTCGCCAAAGAGCTGGGGGTCGAATACCTTGAAGCTTTTGGAGATTCTCAACTGGTGGTTAATCAAATACGAGGAGAGTATGAAGTCAGAAATCGAGACCTGATTCCATACCACCAGGTGGCCATCGAAATAGCAAGCTCGTTTGAAGAATTTTTCATCGAGTACGTTCCGCGTCTCCAAAATACATACGCGGATGCATTGGCAGCATTGTCAGTATCCTTGGCTCAACCTCCCGAAACAGAGCAATTAATTACAGTGAGGACTCATCAGCTTATTGTTCCAATCTACGATTCGAATGCTAAAGAGGTATACTCAACTGGAGTTGAACCCGAAGTTCGAGATTGGCGTTTTCCTATTATTGACTACGTCTTACATGGTATATTACCTGAAGATGTAAGAGAAAGGGAATCGATTCGGCGAAGAGCGCCGAGATTTTATTACAATGCCACATCGCAAACGTTGTATCGACGAGCTTATGATGGTCTTTTACTTCGTTGTCTATCCAGTAAAGAAGCGGAACAAGCACTCAAAGAGGCACATAATGGGATATGCGGTGCACATCAGCCCGGTCCTAAACTCTGCGACCGACTTAGGAGAATCGGATATTATTGGCCAACTATGGTGAAAGACGCAGTCGATTACGCACGACAATGTGTAGTGTGTCAATTGCATGCAAATTATATGCACATACCCCCTGAATATCTGCATCCTTCGGCGACATCGTGGCCGTTTGAAACTTGGGGAATGGATATAGTAGGTCCTATTTTTCCACCTTCGGTTAAAGGGGACCGTTTCATTCTGGCAATCACCGATTATTTCTCGAAATGGGCAGAAGCAGTTCCACTTAGAGAAGTAAAGACGACCAATGTCATCAAATTTATCAAACACCATATCATATATCGGTACGGTGTGCCAAGGCGAATAGTGCACGACAACGGTCCTCAGTTCGTGAGCAACGCATTCATCAAGTTCTGCGGTAAATTCGGGATTAAAGACGTTTCGTCGACTGCTTATAATCCTACAGCTAACGGATTGGCCGAAGCTTTTAACAAGACTATCATCAAAATCCTGGCAAAATTGGTGAAAACCAATAAGCGAGATTGGGATGACAAACTCGGCGAAGCTCTCTGGGCTTATCGTACGACCGTCCGCACGCCTACCGGAGCCACCCCGTATGCTTTAACGTATGGGTGTGAAGCCGTTCTTCCATTGGAAGTGCAGATTCCTTCTCTCCGTATCGCTCTCGTAACGGGAATGACGACGGAAGAACATCATCAGAAACGTCTCGAGGAATTAGAGATGTTAGATGAGAAACGCTTGGAAGCTCAACAACAAATCGAGTTTTATCAAGCTAGAATTTCTCGGGCTTTCGATAAAAAGGTCCGACGACGAAGCTTTAAAGAAGGAGATCTAGTTCTCGCCGTTCGAAGACCTATGATTCTCACTTCTAAGAAGAAAGGCAAATTTGAACCTAAATGGGAAGGACCGTTTGTGATAGAAACAGTCTATTCGAACGGTGCATATCGCCTGGTTACCCAAGATGGCAACAAATTGATGATGCCAATAAATGGGAAGTTCCTGAAAAAATATTATCCGTAATATATTCAGGATAACCTGTGTAAAGCGGGAAGTTCCTAGAGAATCCTATATAGGATATTTCAGGATAACCCGAGATCAGTTCACTATTTTAAATGAGAAGCTGGTCATTTGAATAATTCACTGTTCTTTTACAACTTTTGTTGAGATGAGATTTAATGATAGTTAATCTTTCCTCAGCAAAACCTTGTAATATAATCATGGAAGATGAGATTTGATGATTTGTAATCTCACGCTATGAAACCCCCATCGGTCGGATTGATCAACGATCATCAGTATGTATCAGTCGACAGATTATTTCGTGTCAAATTCTTATGTTTAAAATCAAAATTTCCCACCGATTAGTTTGTGCAAATCAACAAACTCATTGTTATTTGCACCCTACTCCTATTCCTCACTTGGTCAAACCTTTAAACAGTTAGGACCAAAGCCAAAATCCCCTCTCGATTCGTTCCATGAACGAGAGGTCCACAAATTGAGCGATCAAACCTTCCTACAGTTAGGATCGTCTCAAAATTCCCACTTGGTCAAACCTTACTACAGTTAGGACCACAACCAAAATCTCCTTTCGATTCATTTTTGCGAACGAAAGGTTTACTTTTGAATTGAGTAATCAAACCTTATGACAGTTAGGGTTATTCAAACCAACCTATTTTCTCTAAGTGGAGATTCCACTGTGAGTTTCCTTTTCATCAGGAGATAGAATATAAAATTCTCCCTCTCCGATTCTGGGTTTATCTCTACCAACAAACAAGAGACCAGGAGATAGAATATAAAATTCTTCCTCTCCGATTCTGGGTTTATCTCTACCAACAAACAAGAGACCAGGAGATAGAATATAAAATTCTTCCTCTCCGAGTATGGGTTTATCTCTACCAACAAACAAGAGATTGAGAAATGGAATATACAATTCTTTTTCTCTCCGATTTTGGGTTCGTTGTCCTATATAGGAAATGCAACCTATTCACACTTTGAAATCCATGTTGTTCACACATGGGGGATGTTATCTCTATCCCTTATTAGAGATAAGCCTACATCTAACACATGTAGCCTACATATTCAACAGTGTAGTTCAAAGTCTAAAAGAGTTTAATTCTTTTAGCGCAACGTTATATGTGAAACGGACTTAGATAATTCACATACTAGCCCGATTCAAACGGTAATCGGTAAAGGTATATCAAATCCGTTGATGGCTGAGGATTTGCCAAAAATCCTATAAGTATTATGGTTATTTATTCTAAACAAGAATGAGTAATCATAATAAAACCTCAATGAGCAAAAAGATTCAATATAATGAGCAAAAAGGTTCATTATGTTGACCAAGAATTTTCAAACAAAGCTACAAAAATATATGTCCTCCAATTACAAAAGTTTATACTGACTAATCTGATTTTCAAGTTTTGACAGCTCTAACGCACGAGCCTGTTCAAGCTCAGCTGCCAATTTGATTTTAAAGGCTTCTTCGTCAACGTTGTGAAGCGCGGCGACCTCTTGTTCCTTTTCAGCAATCATTTGGTCTTGAAGGTTCAGTTGCTGTAATAAGTTGCCTTCAGTGTGAATTTCCCGCTTCAACTCGGACTCCAAGACATCATGAGCATCCTTGGCCATTGCAAGTTCCTCCTCTAAGCGAGCTATTTCTGCTCGACTCGATTCTAAATCCCGACGTAGGTTAACCTGGGCTTGTATTCTCTTGCCAACATTCATCCTAAGTTGATCGCTGTGGGCTCTTAGCTGTTGGAGCTCGAGATTAGCTGATGTTTGGGAATCACGCAACGCTTGTAGCTTGGAGTCCATGCGAGAAGCAATGTAGGAAGGTACGCTTTCAGTGCGAAGACCCCTCAGAAGGTCAACATGTTGCTTCAAGTCAACCATGTAGGCGTTGATCGAATCGGCTAAATCATTATATCCTTCATCACGGATCCCTGATATATAGCGGTCAAGAGGTTTCTTAAAACTCTCAAATCGCGATCCTTTGGAGAGAATACGATCAACCATAGAATTCAAAAAGGAGATGAAGCCGTCGAGATCAGAGCAAATGCCGGCTTTATCCGGATCCTCGTCTGCTAACAAAGCTCGGATGCGATCTGATAATGATGATGAAGGAACTGCGATGAAGGCAAATAGGTCAGTACAGGACATATATATACATACAAAACAACAAACTAAGACATACCAAGTTCGATGGAAGAACCTTCAGCATGACTTAGTTCACCCGAGGATGGTAACCTGATTTCCGGAACAACCAAGGTTGATTCAGGAATGGTAGCTGTTGATGCACCCGCTACATCAGAGGCTTTTTCAATTAAAGCTTCAGAAGACGGCGGGTCCAAGCTAAGAGGCTCTTTAAGAGTTGATTCTACAAACGAAGGAGTTACAATGAGCATAATGAGATGTTAACCCAAAATTTGAAACAAAATTATGGGTAAAATGTACCAGCAATAGGCATAACATCAGCCGACGTACCAACGCCTTCAGTTGGTCTCGCTTTTGTTGCGACCGGACTAATCTGGGGAGTGACAGTGACTTCTATCATCATAGGGTCCATAGGAGTAGAAGGTTGAGGCTCAAGAACTGATGATTGCAAATCAACCTCAGTTCCTGCCCATGGCACGAGTTCGCTACCCTCTGGCCGATCAGACGTTCCAGTAATTATAGTAGTATCAGCTCCAGCAGTTGGTCCTATAATTCAGACACTTATATGATTAATCAAGTCAAAATATATACGTATATATATATGTGGAGTTCACAGAACCAAAGTCTTACTCTCAGAAGGACCGGCTTCCGTTGAACCAATTCCAACATCTGAGCCGATAGTTGCATCAGAGGCTTTCTCTAACAGAGAATCAAGGATTTGTTGATGGTCGTCCTCTGAGATATTAAAGTCGAAATTATTAAAATCATCGACTTTGGTGGCATGGGTAGCTTCTCCTTCAATAGGCTCGTGCATCGGGATGTCTAAAGAACATGAGGAACCATAAATAACATGTAAATTTAGACGAATCTGCCCAAGACAAAGATCGATTTTACCTTCATTGGTCGGGGCTGATTCGAGAGCTCCACTACTGGTACCTGCTTCTTTTAATTTGACTAAAAGGAGAGAAAGCGCACAGGTCATTAGAGGAGGCACACGGTCCGACTCATTCATTTCTCGGATTTCTCTTCCGAGAGGAGAAAGATCAGTACCTGTGTCCGCAGCTGATGGATCAACGTCAGGAGTGGGTGGAACATCAGCCGATCCTTCCTTCAGAGCATCATGCATTTGTTGGACGAAGCTTGTTTCCTCAATTTCCATACCTCCGGGAGAAGCAGCATCAGCTGACAATTCTCCTTCCTCTCGACTCCCTGCAGAAGTTGAACATGAAATAAGTTTGAACGTCAAAAAGTGTAAAAGCTATAAAAACAAATCGTTACCTTGCTCATCAGAAGAAGCACTACGACCGGATGTCTCTTCTACAGCAGGAAGATGAACGCGCGGTTTAGAAACAGCTTTCTTCTGTTTCTTCAGAGGGCGTGCACCAGAACCTTCATGACGATGTTTGGTGCGTAACTCAGCTCGGGGAGAAACTTGAGTTTGAGCTTGAGTAGAAGTTCGAGATATTTGCCGACGAATGAGAGGCACCATATCCTCTTCATCCTCTTCGTCGCAACTAAGAACTTCTACCGTCATCCGGTTAGGATGTTCCATGACGACTCTTTCCTTACGTTTCTTTGGAGCAGCTTGTGGTTGGGTCGGAGCGACAGAAGGCCTTACAAGTCCTCTATCAAAGAATGAATCGGGAAGGCCAGATACTTCCTCAGAACTTGATTCATTCTCATCTTCCCCTTCTGAAGTTTCGGTTGCTTCACTATCAAACTCCTCTTCACTATCAACTGGGAGAGCCGGTTCCTTTCCTTTCCTTGATGATTCAGCAGCCTCTTTTCCTCGAGGCGACATCACAGCTTCGCGAGGCAGTTCTGCTGCTTGCCGTGGAGCTATTTCCTCCTCTGAGTCTGATATCCTCCTACGTCGAGTGGCAATATTGGTGGCTATCAGCCATTTGCAAAAGAGGAAAGTCATCCGTAGAGGCGGCGTCTCTAAGGGGAGATCAAATTCAACATTGGTGCAGCCGGCAATGCTCCAAAACCAAGCTCTCGCCCCGTCGATAAGTCCACCTCGAAAGTTGAGGTGACGATTCGGGTTGCCGATGTATATCTGATCATACCCGAACTGACGGGCGAATCGACATGGAAGATAGGGTTCGATGTGGCAAACATCCCTTATCCTGAACAACAGATATCCAGGTCGAATATTCATCAACCATCTGAAGCACCCGACATCCAAGATAGTGCGATTCTGCCTTGGGTCTTCAGCATCTACTAAAGTAGTATTGTAGGTACCGGAGAATTGAGGGAAGCAGAGGAAGAATTCCCAACACTTGTGAATTTTAAACTGCCTCGTTATGTCGGGTTCTCGATGCCTAATCCATTTGCAATTCTCGAGACTCTGCAACAAAGGAATGCTAGAATTTGCCGCCTCAGGAGCTTCCATTAAATCTGGTCGGTGAAGTACTAACCAAGTCATCAGATAAGTGTAGGGTAGCTCCAACTTCGGAATGGACAGGCTGGCGGAAGGTTTCTTTTTCTCCTGAGTAAACGCGGAGATTAGTTGCCGCAATCCACTATGAATATCGGCCACCATAGCGGGAAGCAAAGATAATTTGCGACCTGTAGCCAGCTGGACGGCCGGATACAACACTTCCATTGGCATCGCATCTGCGGATTGATGGGGAACTACACATCTCTTTAACCATAAGGCTAGAAAACCCGCCAGCAGAGCAGTAGGGCTAATCGGAACACCAGCTTGCCACAGATAAGAGCGGAACTTAGTGCCGTGCAAAAATCCATCTTCTGAGCGCGAAGTATAAGATTGCGCGTTGGTTTTCTCTAACAGACGGTTAATTTCATCCGTACTCAAAGGAGACAATCCGCACACATCTGCCGAACGGACATCCAGGTTCTTGAAGAGATAGTCAGCGAATTGTTTTAAGCTGACCTGAGGAGATTTCTTTCTGGCTTTGGGCTCCATCTCGGCCATGGCTATATGATAATGGCAAGTCAATTCCCATAAAGTATCATGAGTCACAGTTGAGCTATCTTTCATCTTGTTCAGCTGATTGCTAGTTGGAAAGAACTCTTGATAGGGAACATCGCCCATAGGCAAACCAGACACCTGCAAATCAGCTGATTGGTGGTCGGAAAGAACTCTTGATATGGGACATCGCCCATAGGCAAAGCAGACACTTGCATCATTTCATGCAGTGGTAGTCCAAGTTCCCCGTTCTTGGTAAAGAATGTATTGGTGTCCGGGTTGTAGATCTCGAACAAACAAAGGAAATGACTTACACTGCTCTGCAAGCCATGCATGGTGGCACGAATCGGGACATCCAACCCTAATCCTGCTAATTCTCGCCCAAAACGTTTCAACACATATTGGGTCATCCTGGTCCACCACCACTTGTTCCCAGAATAATGGACCCATCCATAACACCTGAAAGTCTCTCTGGGCAATCTTTTTCCTGCTGCCGCTAACCGGTTCTTCACAGTGTTGGCTTGCACTATCTTTTCGTTCTGAGGAATATTGTCTTGTCCTAAGACACCCGGATGAAGTCCTCTCACATGAGCTCTTTCACTGGAACCTGGAGTTGCTTCCTTTCCAATGAAACCACAATGAATGTGCTCGTGGTTTTCGGTTAATTTCCAGAACATCTCTCGTCCAACTGATAGGTTCCTGAACATTAACAGTGAATGATCCCGAGGGATAAAAGGCAGATATAAGAATGATGATCCACTCTGGTGCAACCATTGCGCAGGCTGGCAGAAAGCAATCTTCGGATCTTTTACCGAGTCACCAAATAAGAAATCTGGCTTCCTTATGCATTGATTCGAGTCTTGCTCCGAGATCAAGGGCGCATCTGTGATTAATCGTCGTAGAACACGACAACTACCTCGCTGGATTAATTCACTATCACTTCCGTTATAATCAGATTTAAACTGGGGAGAGAATTCAATTAACGGGATCCCCTCATAGTAAGAATGGGTCACGCTACTCCGACCCGTAACCACATCAGCAGTAAAGGTGGTAGAAGGGAATCGGACTGATAAAAGAAAACATACACATAAATTGTGTAAGTGTAGTCCTAAAATTTTAGAGAAAAGCGATATATCTTACTCTATAAGATATAGTCGTTATCTCACAACAGGTGTGACGATTTCCCACCTACCACATGTATAAAGGAGATATGCGGGCATTATAACGGCATACCAGAACCTTTCAATACATGTAGGAGGATATGAAATCGCCCCTGTGTATTATGAAGTGCGTTTTGTCCAAGCAAAACAAACACTTTTAAGCGTCGATCCCCTCAAAGGAGGATACCGGCTCTTCTCGAAGGTACCTCAAAGGATACAAACGAGGATCTGCAAGCAAATACAGGTGCATATATATATGGAATTTACGAAATACAGTATTTAAACTCGTAAAAGGATGAAAAAGGTATACCTCCACGTGAGGGTGCAGCAGGGGCAGCCTCCTCGGGGCTCTGAACAGTCGGTCGGATTCCCTTTCCTCGAGCTCTACGCGACGACATAATAAATATGCGATCTACAGTGAAAGCCGATGGAAAGTTAGGTTTTTTTTAACGTAAAATTGAACAAAATATCAAGGCTTATCTCAGAAATAATGCATGCACAGTCACAGGTTGCCGAAAGTCAAGATTTTGAAGAAAAGAGGGGAAACAAACCTTTCAAATCCAAATGAAATCTCTTCAAATCGAAGCACCACCCAAGTCAGAAACGAAGAGAAGAAGAGGAGGTGAAGAACTGGTCGAAAATCGCTCGAAAATCGCCCAAGAATCGCCTGAAAATCGCAAAAAAGTCGACGTAAAAAAAAACCCTAAAACCCTAAGTCCCGATTTTTATAGCCTCTGCCTTGCTGAGCGAGACAGAAAACTCTGTCTCGCCGAGCGAGACAGATAATCCTGTCTCGCTGAGCGAGACTACCAATTCAATGGTAAACGCTGAATTCACAAGAGCAAGTATCAACTTCAATTCAAGATCTCGACAACGGTCAAGCGATAAACGCGACGCCGGGAGAACGTTAGCTATTCTACGAAGAACTGGATAGACTAACAGCAGAAGAGGTTAAACATTGAAGCCATTTACAAGTCCTTTCATACGATCTATTCAGCCAAGCATTGAAGGGATCGTAAGTAAAATCTATCTTATCCAAAGTATCCCATGCTCCTCTATAAAAGAATGAGTCTGGAATACTTTGGAGGGGGTATCTGTAGGCGTCAAAAAATGCTAATAGATATCCCAAGCATAGAGAAGATCACTCAAAAATTCACAAGAAAGGATTTCATACAGTTTTGGAAAAATCAAAACAAGTATGAACTGTCTCGCCAGCGAGACGGTCTTTGCTGTCTCGCCAGCGAGACGGTCTTTGCTGTCTCGCCAGCGAGACAGTGCTGAAATAGTCAAAACTACATTTGTAACTGCCCTACACGTGTCCATTAACTCCCAAGGGACGTGGGAAACATCATGGGCGAAAATCACGTGGATAACTGCCAAAATAACGGAGTTTGAAACGTGAGAGAACAGTTACAGCGAGAAACTGCCATTTTCCGAGACAGCATTTACTGTCTCGCTGAGCGAGACAGCAAATTTACTGTCTCGCCGGGCGAGACAGCAAAAGCTGTCTCGCCCAGCGAGACAGTAAACACTGTCTCGCCGTACTGACTTCTTCGATTGTTAAGTTTTTGCAGTTACTGACCCTTGAGGCTATAAATACCCCCCTAGGGTCACTTCTGACGAGGATCGAGCATTTGTTAGAGCATTCCAGAGCAGAGAGAGCAGAGATTTGAGTTCTTTTCTTACAACACCTTGAAATTAAGCTTCGACTTGATTTTAAGAAGAACGACTATCTTACTTCGATAAGATATCGTTTCAATTTCTACTTCGATAACGAAGTTAGAATCATAAGCCCCCTCTTCACGATCTGTGAATCGGCGGTCCACGAACCAAAGCGTTCCCGGCACAGGCAAAGTCCCACGAAAACGAGAATTGATAGACGATTTTCGTGTTTGTTTCTCAAGAGTTGTAATTTTTGTTTTGTTGTGTAGAAAAAGTCTTATAAAAAGATTATTCTTTTGAATTTGTTGTAATAGAACAAAGTTATGATGAATTCCACAGCAGCGACTTTTGAACCAAACAGCCGAGAGAGAAGGTCACACAAGCATAAAATTAACAGCAAGAACATAAATAACGAATTTTACGTGAAGCGGCAAGTTTTGTCTACGTCCACGGGGCAAGAAGGAGATGAGTTTTCACTAATAGAGAAGAGAGTACAAATAGAGATTACCAAATCACTCAAAATCGCTCAAACAAAGCTTTCAAATCTCTCACACAAACCCCAAATAAATTACTTAGAAAACTCCCTTTTCTATGCACCAAATAACCCCTTTTCAACCTTACTAAACCCTAAAAAACGTGTTTCAATATATATCAAAACACAAACCCAATCAGAACAGGAAAGCAGAATCAGGCCCAAACCTGACTAGCGGTCGACCGCCGAAATCATCACGGTCGACTGGACAGAACGACAGAAACCAAAAATCCATTACAGGATATGCGGTCGACAACGGCCTAGCCTCGCGGCCGACCAGCTAGAAAGCCAAAAATTACCCTATAGCGTGCACATTTCCGATTGACCGCACCCTTGGTCGTGGTCGACCGGAAAAACTCCAAACTGTTTACTTCATCAAATTTCCGGAACTTCAACCATGTTTTCGTTGTTTCTACAATTCTCCACATCGGCGAAGTTTTTTCAAAACTAAACCGATACCAATACCAACCAAACATCCCACTTGTTGCGTCCAGTATGAAGTGGAAACAATCCAAGACAACGGACTCAATCCACAACAAGTTGAGAATCC